GTTAGTTAGTAGTAGTGTCGTAGTAGTGTGTCGTGTGTGTGTGTGTGTGTGTGTGTAGAGAGAGAGAGAGAGAGAGAGAGAGAGAGAGGTCTAACCTGTCCACCAACAATTGAAGGCAGTCTTCTAATTTACCGAGCATGAATAGACAAAGGAAGGCAACGTTGTTCTTCCCTTGCTCTTTAGCAAGTGAAGCAAGTTTCGACATTCCTTCAGCATCCCCCAGAGCAGAATAGAGAAGCAACAAACCACTGAAGTCCATTGCATGAGATAGACATTCCTCTGCCATTTCTAACTGCACCCAGAAAATAAGTGCAACTCAATGATAAATCATGGGATCCTCCTGATGTTTACAAAACCCAAATTCAAATTGTTCCAGAATTATACCCTCAAGGGGGAGAGCTAGATAAGAAAAACCTCCCCAAACTTCGTAAACAAGTAAGCTGATAATAGGCACTGGGCCGGAAGTAGGAACAAATACCTTTCCAGTAGACATAGCCAGTTCTCCCAACTGTTTCCACTTTGATTCACTCTGTACCTCTATAGCAATAGCCTGTTTTACCAATCCTGAGCAGTGGTTATCATCTAGGATATTTCCTCAAAGGAAGTTATTGTCTAGCAACTACATTATTTCAGACTACTACTTCAATCTCTTGAAGGGAAGAAAAGACATCACAGGATTTCTTGCATTAAGCCTTAGAACTTCAGAGGAACCATCCTGCACATGTGAAATAAAGAGCAAGATAGGAAGCAAACAAACCTTTGCAACCTCTAGCCTCCCAAGCTGTACTGCTAAATCAAATCTGTAATTAGGATCAGTGGCTACTTCCAAAGCATCTTCCAGCATGCCTCGGGTTTCCAAGAAGCGGGCCACACTACCACAGAAGAAGAAAAATTTAGCAGAGAGGAAACCAGATTCAATGGCCAATACAGCGATTTGGACTGTCCTCGAATATAAAAGCCTAAATAAATACTTTTTATGCCTACTTAAATGTACACAAACATAAATAGGAAAATCACTAGTAATATTATTAATGAAAATAAGAATAAAGTGCATAGAACAGCAATTGTACAATCAGTGATACATGTCATTGTAACATGGAATTGATAAATTATGGTTGATATCCCATATGTCCAGAACAACCCGATCTTCCTTTTCTAAATGACTGTAGCATCCTAAAGATAAGCATCTGGAAGAAATCAATTTCTATTATTTTGGTAAATAAAAGTGTATCTATTGGAAAAATAATAATACACATTAGACTAGATAGAAAATAGGGAATAGCATGAACATGGGGTTTGAGACAAAAAAAAATCTCAATGGGGATAGATCACAACATTTATTCACAGACAAACTTTCACTTGTTTAGATGTGCGCAATGTCATGAGTTCCAAACTCGCATATGATATTGCGCAAAGGAGTTCTTTGAAACATGTACTATTAGTTGGTCCTACACTACTTTTTCGTTATTGAAGGAACTAGATAAACTCACATGGCATTCTAGGTTGTAGTCTTAAAAGATGTAATATCAATACAAGTAGTAGATTTATGTGCAATCTACGTAGAAATGTAATGTGCAACAAATAAATATTAATCCTAAAATTAAATAGGAAACTGAAAAATATAACAGAAATACAAAATTAAAAGAACAGTTAAAAGAATCAACATTAGAATTATAAAATCATCAATTTGAAAAAACAATAAAGAATAGTTCTTTGTCACCTTCAATAATACATATATAATAGGGAAATATGACATACTAATATGTACGGAATATGATTTATAAATACGACATAATAGCTCAGATCTACTTTTTATTTAAATTACTTTTTTTAGTAACACTGGATATATTTCCCTAATTTTCTAAAAAATATCACGAGTCTCTTTAAGTATTTCATAACTCATTGTGGAAAATCTAGAAATTGGTCATAAATAAATTTTATAATGAAAACTCAGTTCATAAATGTAATTTAAAACCATTGAAAGATCGACAACTTGGTAGTAGAGTGATGAGGTTCAAAGGGTTATTTGCAAAAAATGATTATGTCACAAACCTTGGCAAAGGAATAGAAAACTTAGAAAAATATAAAAAAGCCAAGAACACTAAGAAAATAGTAAGGCTAGACTCAAGGCAAGAGAAGATAAAAAATGTCTTCAAACTCGCAAAAATGAGATAGGAGAAGTGTAGGGATTTAGATCATATTAAATATATTAAGAGAAGGATGAGAAGGTCAATGAAAGATGGAAAATTTATTCTAAAAATTTGTTAACTCGGGAAGTACAGCTTTAGGAGGGACCTTCAACATAAATAAGATTGTAGGTACTACAAAGTAAAAGAAGCTTTGAGAAAGACGAAGATAGAAAAGGCTTCGGAACTAGATGTTATACCTATATAAGTTTGTAAGTGCATGGGAGAGATTGGCATGTACTGGTTGACGAAGTTGTTCAACAAGATTTTGAGGGCAACGAAAATGTTTGACGAATGGAAAAAAATATTGTAGTACAATAACAAAGGAGACATAGAGTTATATGAAATATCGAGGGATCAAACTTATGAGCCACACTATGAAGCTGTGGGAGTGAGTGATTGAACAACAACTACAACATGAAATGAGTATATAAGCAAATCAATTCGGTTTTATGCCAAGGAGGTCAACCATTGAGGCCATTTTCCTACTCACAAACACAATTGATTGAGAAGTTTAGGAAGAAAAAAAAAAAACCTCTAAATGGTCTTTGTTGATTTAGAGAAAGCATACAATTGGGAACAAAGAGAGTTAGTTTTACGGGTGTTAGAAAGGAAAAAGTCTCTAGAGGATAGTCTAAAGACATTGACATGGTGCGGGATATGTATGACGGAGAGCTAACTAGTGGAGAGACAAGTGAGTCTTTAGAGACAATAGACCTACATCAGGGATCGGTGTTAAGTTCATATCTCTTTGGTTTGGTTGTAAACGAGTTAACTAGGCATTTATAGGATGACGTACTGTGGGGTATGTTGTTTGCGGATGACATAGCTTTCATTGATGAGACTAGAGACAACATCAACGCAAAGGTAAAACTTTGGAGGGATGCTTTAGGATCTAAAGATTTTAAAATTAGCCGGACTAAGACAATATATGCAATGCACGTTTAGTAAAAATAGAAGATTGATGCGAAGAAGTACCTAAAAGAGATTATTTTCGAGATTTTGGTCATAACCCATGAGAATAGAGAGATTGAGGAAGATGTCGCACATAGAATTAGAGCAAGGTGGATGAAGTGTAGATGTGCTTCTGGGGTCTTATGTGATCGTCGTATACCAATGAAATTGAAGGAGACGTTCTATAGGACAAGGTAAGACCAGCCATGCATCATAAGGAAAAATGTTGGGCAGTCAATAAACAACATATCTATAAAATGAGTGTGACTGAAATGAGGATGTTGAGATGGATGAATGGCACGACAAGAAATGATAGAACCCAGAATGAATACATAAAAAGGAACTTAAGGTAGCTCCAATAGGCGATCAAATGAGGAAGAATAGACTTAGGTAGTCTGGCCATGTATGCATAATCCTTGAACAACACCGGTTAGGAGGGGTGATTTGGTTCAAGTGGAAGGCTTTAAAATAGTAATGAAAAAGTTGAAAACGACATACATGGAAGTAGTAAGAAAAGAAATAATGATCTATGGTTTGACTGAAAATATGACCCTTGATAGAGCGGAATGGCGGAAAAAGATTTGTGTAGTCGACCTCAAATAATTGGAATAAGGCTCGGATGATGATGACAATGGTAGAAAATCTAGAAATTGCTCATAAATAAATTCTATGACAAGAATTCTGTTCATAAATGTAATTTAAAGCCATTGGCGCCAAAATCTAAGATAATAAAATATTTTAAATTATTATTATTTTTATTTTAAATATGTGTTAAATTCTTTAGGATTTAATAAACAATTCCTGTATCTAAAAAATTGAAAATTTATTCTAAACAAATTTTCAAAATGAAAAATTCATCTGAAAATATAAAGTTGTTTAAGTACTTGAAAAAAGGAAGAAATCTATGGTTTCATATTTCCTATTTTTTTTAAAAAAAGTTAACATGGTTTATGAGGGGAAAAAACAAAGATAGCTATTACAAATTCAACACAATTTTTAGAATATAAGAGAAGTATTACTAACAAGAAAAAGTTTATATAAGGCTGCAACCTTAAAATGTAGAATTACATATGCACTTCAAAAATACATTATCTAGACCGTCCATTTTTAAGATTTTCATATGTTTATAGATCTATTGGATTTTAACCATTTTTGGAGTTCAAAATTTTATAATTAGATATAAAAATAGATTTTCAGATAATCCTAAGAATTATTTATACCGAGGTCCAAAATTACATGTTATGGTAAAATTTGGAGGTGCACCTTAATTGGATTGTT